TATACCAATGTGTAAGGACTATCAGAAATCATTTGCTTTCACCTAGCAGGAACAAAAGCACTTCTTTATGTAAACTCTTCCACTGTCTACCATAATCTCTCATCAGAGATGCCGATCATCTCGACATCCAATAGAACATCATGCTGATTCAATTCTTTGATGACATCATGATAATTTGATCTGATGAGCAGAAATTAGCAAGTAACTTAGATGTCTGAATTAGACACATGTGTTAGATCAGGGGTTAAAAACTAGGACCCACTGGCCAAATCTGGCCCCTCACTTGTTTTTGTAAATAAAGTTTTGTTAAAACAAAGCCATACTCATTTCTTTATGCATTATCTATGGTTGCTATTTTGCTACAATGTTAGAGCTGAGCAACAGAGACTGTATGACCCACAAGGCCTAAAGTATTTATCATCTTGCCCTTTACAGAAAAGTTTGCAGATCCCTTATAGAGTGGGAGGGGGATTGGAGTTGAGGGGAGAGAGGAAATCTGTAGTCACATCATAAAATGTCTGCTTACTATGCTAAAAGAGGGAGGAATTTATCCTCAAAACTAGGAGAATTAAAAAAGAATTTTGACCAAGGGAGTGCTACTGTCAAATTTGCTTTTTTAGGAAGATCATTTTCATGTAATTCCTCAACTGTACAATACCCATGCACTCACACATGTCTAGATCAAAAATAGAACCATGCCTGGTTGACTGAATGAAGGAATAAATAAACGAATGAATTCTGAAGAGTGAAGACAAATTGAAGCAGCTTATGTCACAGATGCTCCAGTTTTTCAGATCCTATTATCAAAAATACTTGAGTTCGTATGTCATTATCTTGCACTATCATAGGGACCTGGGATGAAAGAGTGATTAAAACACGTCCTGAGTCCATGAGGAGTTCACAGCCTAGAGTGGGGACAGACAGTAAGCAGTTATACAATTATAATACAACACAATAAGTGCACTAAGAATATATATCCAAGCGTTAACAATGATTGTCTCTGGGTGAGTGAGATTATGAGTGGTCCTCATTCTTTTTTGTCTTTTATTTTCTGACCTTTCTGTAAATGCTTTTATAGTAAGGATTATAGAGAGAATTTATATAGAGACAGCCAATCAGATATCTACAAAAGACCTGCAGAACAGCAGTAAGAGATTAGCAGAAATAATACAGTATGAGTAGGCGAGGGCTTTGGTTGGCATGTTTTTGCGACTTTCTCTCCCTATGTTCTGTTTCCCAGGTGTGGGGAATTCAAGCTTTGGAATGCCAATGGTCTAGCCCACCTCTAGATTCCTCTTTCAGAGCTTTGGGAGAATCAAAGCTGCTAGAACCAGTGCACAAAGTATGGCATTTTTAAAAATGCACACTATAAAGTTCTTGGGCCTGAATCCTACCACTCTCCTTATGCATCCCTAGACTGGGGTTTTATCTAAAGCTATGGGTCACATGCTGTGAAGGAATAGAGAGCATGTCAGCGAGAAACTACTAATGAAGTGCAGAGGAACAGTTGATGGATATTTTGTCTGAGTACAAGAAAATACTGGTGAAATACCACTCCATAAAAAAATTGACTTAAAAAAAACAAAAATCAAAACCTGAATAGCCACCAGGTAGTCTATTAGAGTGAGAAATGATCATCAGAAAATGCCACATAATCTCTTATTTTAAGCTTCCTTATCCCTTATCCTTTGTTGTATGTGCAAATAAGTCTCCTTCTAAAGGGTTTACAGAATGCTGCCCTACAGTTGTGCATAAGGAGAAAGCTCATAGCTCCCTGTCTAGCAGATGTATTCCAAAAGCTGAGGCAAGGAACACCTCTTTACCATATTTCATTACTTCTAAGACTTTTTTTTCACATTTCTGAAATTAGAGGTATCTTAGAAACAACGGTGTCTTAGGTTGTAAGCAATAGTGTGATGGCGCTGCTTCTCTCTTGCTTCAAGTGCAGGCTGTTGGGTGTGGATGCACATACAACAGGAGACATTTTCCAGTAAACCAGATGTAGAGCTTATTTACAATAAGTCCAGCTAGAGAAAACATTTTTATAGAATAGAAAGATCTCATTATATAATTGGACACTGTTGTGTCGTAATGTACTGTTAGATTATTTTTTTCTTCACCACCTTTGTAGAAAAGTATAAGCCAGAGTGACTCCTCTTCCCTGGTGGGGCATCTTGTCCCCCAGGGAGTGGGGGAGGAGCACCGCGGGGATAGCTCTTTCTCACTAACAATGGAGCTCTTGTTGGTAGCACCAAATCCTGTAGCAGTTTTAATATCTTGTTAAAACATGGTGGTTGTTTCTCTTTTAATAGAAGAAGAAATTCTTGTTAGAACTGGTGTGACTCATACACCATAAATATTCAGTGCTCTCGTCCCCCATGGGTTTTGAATGCCAAATGACACTGTAGGCTTACATTAAAAAAACAAACAAACAAACAAAAAAACTGCATTGTATAATGCTGGAAAGCATATGTTGAGCTTTCTACTCTTATGTAATGCTATAGTATTTTTAAAAATACATACTATAAAGTAAACCATTCATAAATTCCAATGTGATGCCAGTTATGTTAAAATCTTGACTACGTCATTTAATTCTCACACGTAATCCTTTTTCACTGTTTTGACCCAACTAGCAGAAGGGAAAAAAAAAAAAAAGATTGAGGGAAAATATGTTAATAAACACACCCATACAGACAAATTCACATGCATTCACACAACCCCTTGCTTAACGGATCTGTCCTCATTAGAAACACTGAGATTTCCAGTAAATCAAAATAATCTTCAAAACATATGACTCATGAAAGGGTTAAAGTATTTTTTAAACCTCCATAAATGCAAAGCCAGAGATACCATTTTTGCATCTAAATTCTCAGGCGGCATTATAATCTCTAGAATAATGAAATTTCAATTCACTTATAAGTAACAGGCTACAAACTATTCAAAAAGAAAATAACACTAGGCTACTTGACAATAAAGATCAAAAGAGTGTATTTATGATAATCATCTTTAGTTGATCTACACAAAAAATTGAGAGAAATTCTTTCCTCCCTCTTAAAACATTGAAGCAAAGGAAATCATTTCACCAGAATCCATTGCAAAAAATACAACTAATAATGTATGCCCAAGGGGAAGCATTTTACATACCTTAATAATTGCTAAATCACACCATATCAGTGGTAGGTGCAGCACATATTTCTACACTTTGGGAAGTGGTTTCTGGGTTGCCCAGAGTCCTCTGTTGCTGTTTACAACAGAGAACACTCTAAGAGAACTTTCCGGAATTGGTATTATGATGTAACAAAGCTTACGTAGATTCTACATTGTTTCTATCACTCTAAAACGATACTGCCAGAAGTGTGATAAATGAATTATTTAAGCACTGGTTGGGAGAAACGACTTTTAACATGCTCCAGTCCTGTGTCTTTGAGCATACTGAGAAAAACTCTTTGATCATACCACCCCACTCTGGTCAAAGAGAGGAAATCAGGTTAGCCTTTGGAGGTGTTCATAGCATCACATACAATTCATGTAAAATGCATTTCATTAAAAGACAATGTTTCCCAAAAGGAAAAATCATCCAAATGGTACATAAATTAGTTTTAAAACTCAAGTAAATGCATCTTTTACCCCTTCAATTTAACAATTTAGTGGGAAAATGCTATTGTTAATACTATTATTTCCGTAGAAACATCTATTATTATTCTTGCAAGAATAGAACAAAATATTATATTGACATGTAATCCACTTGCTATATACAAATTTGAATTTAAAATTCTAGTTTATTAAATTATCTATGTTAATTCATATGGGAAAATTCAGTATATGCTATCAATGATAAATTGTTGAGGTTATTAGTTGTTGTCCAGTTGGCCCCTGACTAATGGCGACCCCATGCACAACAGGATCGGACCTTTGTGATACATAGGATTTTCATTGGTTGATTTTTGGGAGTAGATCACCAGGCTTTTCTTCCTAGTCTCTCTTAGTCCAGAAGCTCTGGTGAAACCTGTTCAGCGTCATAACACTACGCAAGCCTCCACTGATAGGTGGAATATGGCTGTGTACGAGCTGCATTGGCTGGGAATGGAACCCAGGTCTCCTGCATGGAAGGCAAGAATTTTACCACAGAACCATCGTTGCTTCCATTGGCAAATACTGCACTGTAATATTTATAATTATTTTGTTTAAAATAAAAACAGAATATTATTAAAGTAACTGAAACTTAAATACCAAAAGAGCTATAGACATACTGAAAAACAAGTCTATAAAAGTTATACATTTCTAACCACTGTAACTGTTCACTTCAAAGTCATTTGTCTGGACACAGTAGTTGATATTAATAATAATATTAACAGCAGTAATAATATCTATTAACATGTATTGAGCACTTAGTGTTCTAGACCCTAGGCTAAGCTCTCTACATGTAATAACTCATTTCAAACATATAACAGAACTGTGAAGTAAGCACTGTTGTTATCCCCATTTTACAGATGAGCAAACAGGCACAGGGAGGTTTAGTAGCTTGTTTAAGGCTACATACCTAGCAAGTGGTAGCACCAGGATTCAGTCTGAGGCCAGCATCCTGGCTCCTGCACTATGCTATTTATACAGGAAATAAAGACCCAGTTATCTTCTTGTACTCAGCGTACCTAAATATGAGACTCTGAAAAAAAATGTGGTGCTGTGTCTATACTTCTGTTTATCATCAAGATCAGATCAATAAATTGTATGCTAGTTGGGTATATAACACTCTGCTATAAATAATAATAAAGGTCAATGCAACCAAATGCTATAAAAGCACACATTAGTTTGACATGTGCTTGGGTTTTTATGTGTGTGTGAATGAAAGAAGAATAAAAGGTTTGAAATAACTACCGACTGCTTTCATTCTCCTGGTCCATAACTAGTTTAAATTACATCAGTAATAACCTTTGAGTGTTTTTTTTTTGTTGTTTGTTTTTTTTAGCATTAACTACATAGTTCCCATGTTTTTAAGTTACCTGAATCTCTATCTGTAGCTTCTACCCTTGTGACAAACTCTCTTGGATTTTGGTTTTCTCTAACTGATGCGTTATACAGGAGCTGCTTAAACACTGGTGCCTTGTCATTTATATCAAGAACAGTAATTGTCAAGGTCTGGGATGAAGAAAGTGCCGGTATTCCATCATCTGGTGCCAGAAGGGTCAAAATGTGCTGTGCTTGGATTTCATGATCCAAAGGACAAGTTGTAGTTAGTAGACCTGTTTTGAAAGAGAGGAGAAACAACATGTAATAAATATTCTTTAGAGAAATCATGTTCACTCTATGTCTGACTTACCTAACTTGATAAAAATTCAGAAGCTTTCACTGTCAAAGAATAAATCTTACTGACCTAACTTTAAATTGACACATTATCTAAAATAAAAAAGATAAGATTATTGTTAGAAAAGTCATCCCAATTTAAATTTTAAGGATGAATTCAAAATCAGAAATAATCTATACCATTATGTACTGAGAGCACTCTATCACAATTATACTCTACCAGCCTCTACTTACATTTAAAAAAATAACTAGGACACAAACAATATACAAATAAAGATAAAAATATGAGTATGGCTAGATTCTTTAAAGAGATTTGGTTTTTGTTAAAGAGTTATGGTCTCTTTATATTTAGCCTCAGTTAAATGTCTTTTTTTAATTAACAACAAAGAGCAAAGACTTTATGATCCAGACAATAAGTTTCAGGAATAAAACATGTCTCCAGTCTATTTTCATTTAAACATACAACCCATATAAGCAAAATGTGAAAGCCTTGCACACATGTAACTTCACATAATTCCAACTGTCACATTTTCTTTTTTGGATTGCTGTTCATATCTCTAAAACAAGCTCATCCTATAAGAGCTTTTATTCAAATAATTAAAGAAGAGGTTTACTGATTCAGATTTTATAAAATAGTCTTTTAACAATTACTTATCACTTTATACTTCACAGCCATAAGCCATTGAAAAACTCACTATATAAGAAATATGAACCTTCAACTCTTCAGACAGGGATTGGACTAGCTGTGGGACATAAAGTGATAGTTGTGAGGAGTGTGCCTCTTAGCTCAAGTAGATACAAGAGACTAAACGGGTAGCTTCTGTCCGGAGGTGAAATGGGAAGGCAGAGAGGGTTAGGTGCTGGTTGAATGGACGTGGGGAATCAGGGGTGGAAAGGAGGAGTGTGCTGTCACAGTATGGAGAGAGCAATTAGGGTCACATAACAACATATAAATTTTTGTATGGGAGACTAACTTGAAAAGTAAACTTCATTTAAACTACAACAATAAAAAAAAGAAATATGAGCCTTGTGAGAGAAAAAATTACCTATCTTATGTACACGTATTCAGCAATTACCATTTTATGTCTTTGAAAAATATCTCAACTGAAACAGCCACTGCAATGGATTGAGATTCATGAGACATGTATTACTGAGACACAATTCTAATTTTATCCATCATCTTTAACAACCTGAAATAGACCTTCCTTAGCCATCTTGAAAAACGTTTTAAGTATCACTGAAAACAAGCCCTTGTAGAGTCCTGGTTCTAACAGAAATCAGCAGCTATATCTGAACTATTTCTCTGTCAGTTGGGTATTTAGGTTGGGTCCACACATGCATCAGAATGGAACCATATGTACTGTATTTAATAAATATTTTGATGAAATTTTCCAACAGAATATAGCCAGACCACAATCATGACTTCTAAATCCTACACATTTAGTCCCTATCCAAATAATGATATTTGTAGCAGCTGGGCCAAATGGTATATACATCCTAGAGTTTTTCTAAGGTTCAAGGGGAAATGACTTTAATTTTCTTAGAGAATGAGATAGTAGTCCATCTAATTTTCAAAATCTCTTGAAAAACAAGTAGAGGGAAGTTCATTTCCAAATTCGTAAGAATGATACTTTGTACATATAATCTTCCATCAAACTACATCAAATTTCCAGTAGATGCTATCTGGCAACATGGTGACAGTAGGACAAGTGATGTGACAGTGAGTGACAATTTTGTCAAGTACTTGAGAGTGACTAAATGCTTCTGCAAAAAATAAAGTTTTAGTTGATGTGAGAAGTCAGAGTCTGAATACACAAATAAGCCCAGCTATTTAAATAAAAAAATAAAATATGTATCATTTCCAGCTGCTTACAAATGTATGCTTGTATGAGCTTAAAGATAAGATTCCACACTAAAGTCTTTGAATAATGCTTTTGATTAGTCATGTTCCTAAGAGCTCAGCTACTAACCAAAACATTGGTGGTTTGAGTCCACCCAGGGGCACCTCAGAAGAAAAGCCTGGTGATATATTTCTGAAAAGTCAGCCAAGAAAACCCTATGGAGCACAGGTCTACTCTTACACACATGGGGTTGCCATAAGTCAGAACTGACTGGATGGTGACTCATTTGCTTCAGTTTTTTTTACCTTGATTCACTTTTGGAACCATTTCCTACCCTGTGAGGACCTACAATGGGGGCAAAGAAGTTGGCTACTGTATACTCAGCCCATGAAATATGAGCTAGGAACAAAACCTAGTCACGATCAACAAACAGGCCATATAACCTCTGTGCTTGTCATATATGTCTTACACAAGTAAATCAAGTCAATTTTTTTAAAGCATATGTTTCTTGAGAACTATCATTTTAACAAAGATGAAAATGAAAGGTATAAACAAAAATGAGTGACCAGAGGCTATAATTTAAAGTGACATATTCTGCACTATACCTGATGACTCATCTAGTACAAATGTCATGTTTTCATTTCCTGAGAGGATGCTGTATGTTACTCTTCCATTTCTTCCTTCATCTGGATCTTGAGCAGTTATGTGGTGCACCATGGAGCCCACCGTGGCATCTTCTTTGATGTGGGCAATGGGGAAGGACATGAACATGGGGCTGTGGTCATTCACGTCTAAAATTACTACCTTCACCATCAGTGACCTCAGTTGCCGGTCTGTCACATTCACAGCCTGATCGGATGCAGTTATTTTCAGGATGACCGTGGGAACACTCTCTCTGTCAAGGAGGGATGCAGTGACCAGTGTGCCAAATGACAGGTGGATGAGAAATGGGTTCATCCCAGGGTGGTGGGATTCAATGAAGTACTGTATTCTGCTGTTCAAAAAACTGCCGTCACCATCTTTGGCATTGAAAACATACACCAGAGTACCTACAGGAACATTCTCTTCTATACTTATCACAATGAACTCATACTGGAAAGATGGGGAATGGTCATTCTGGTCTTCCACATCAATATTAAGGAAGACTGTGCTATTCAGGGGAGGATTTTTGCTATGGTCTTTAGTAACCACCCTGAAGAGATAATGGGATGTCATTTCATAATCAAGTTCCTTAGAAAAGAACAAGTCTCCTGTTGAGCCATTAATTTTAAAATGACCATCTTTGTCATCTGTAACTATACAAAAATGTAACTTTCCACTATGATGTTGTTGAAGGTGGTCAGGTGATTTTATAAAGCTCATTATTTTCATAGGCTTTAAGTTTTCTGGTGTAACCACATGTCTAATATTCTGAGAAATGACGGTGCTCCCTTGGGATTGTGGTGACACCTGAAATAAGAATTTTAAAAAGCTGTTACTTTGGGGTATTTTTTAAACAGTCATATCAATACCTGTTATGACATTATTTTGAAATATAATTCATTCCATTTATGTTATAAACATATGTTAATTGGTGGGAAAACATCTTTTTATATAATTCCAGTGTCTCTCAGAAGAATTAAAACTGCATAATAACTAGGAGACAAACTACAGAAATTTATAATTCCCAATTTGTTGTAAAATGTGAGATGAGAGGCGGGTCCAAGATCGTGGAGTAGACAGACACTTCCAGAGGACCCTCTTACAACAAAGACTAGAAAAAACAAGTGAATCAATTATATATGACAATCAAGGAGCCCTGAACATCAAAGGCAATGTTGAGGAACCAGACTGAGTGGCAGGGGGAGGGAGAGACAGTTAAGAAGCAGCGAGGAGTTGCCAGACCTGACCTGGCGAAAGCCTGAGCCCTTCAGGCCTGATCAGCTCATGGGTGATCAGTGAGGCAGGCAAGCAGCCGTGCTCAGGAGGCGTATTCCACACCAGGAGAGACCCAGCGGCAGAGAGTCAGAACCAGTGAGAAGTAGCCCTTGATCGCCAATAGATAAGTGCTTGCGTCTGGCTTACCGGACGGATCAAAAACACCCCCATTAGGGAAAAACCTCTGTCCCATTTACCTTGCCACTCCCTACTCTGCACTGGGTCCCTGACTGGCCTCAGCAATTGCCGAGTCCCCTGGGCTGGAAGTAGGATCCATCACATGCCCTGAGCCATTCTCCCAGCCTTGGAGAGCGAACAAATTAACAAACGGGAAAAAATAAACTGCCAGCTCCTCTAAGCCAGGAACTCAGGGTAGGCACAGCTCCTTTGCCTAGGCACAGGCATAAGGCATCCATGGACTTTGAGTGTCTGTCACCCTGCATAGACTTGTGTGGGCTCATTTCAACAGCATAGGCCCTCATTACCACAGTACAACAGGGTATATATCTGAAGTCTAAATTCAACTGTTTCAGCTGGGAAGTGGCAGGTTCGTGACATTTGACACTACTCTGCCCAATAAGCAGGGTCTTCACCTACCCACAGCAGGGGCCTGAGGACTGGTGGCTCCACCCACACCACCTAGTCACCTGCGAGAGGCGCCCAAGAATAAGAGGTGGCCCCCAGTCCTTACAGCAAACAGCACTGTGTGCTCATACTTCAGCCTCAAAACCCACCCACCTACGTGCTCTAGGGAACAGGGACATGCCTTCCTCTTGGACACTCAGGGACAGCCGTCAGCCCCCTGCCTTGCTCGGAGTGTGTCCCCCTGCTGCAGCCAAATGCCTGTGCCTACACCAATCACCCATGCCTGTCTAGGACTGAAGGTGAGAGCCTGTACTATACACTTGGTAGCTATCTACCTGGGCACCTGAGCTGAATCCATACAGGAGGAGTGGATGGACTCCTGAGCTCACATACCTAGTAACAGATCTAACCACCTGGTGACAGGACATTAGAGGTTCAAAGGTGCCAATAATCAAGCTAGCTCACATGAGCAGCCTATTTGGGCATATCAAAACAAAACAAGAAGCTAGGACACAGTAAGCAAACATAAAATAAATAAATATAATAACTTATTGATGGCTCAGAGACAACAGTCTATATAAAATAACATAAACAGGCAGTCCATGATGGCTTCAGCAAGGTCCCAAAAGAAAGAATCTAGAAATTTTCCAGAGGAGGAAAATTTCTTGGAATTATTGGAGGCAGAATAAAAAGATTAATATACAGAACTCTTCAAGCAATTAGGAAGGATATTAAGCAAAATGCAGAATAAGCAACAGAGGAAATTAAAAAGATTAGAGAAGAGCATAGTAACAAACTTAACAGACTGAAAGAATCCACAGAGACAGCAATCAGAAATCCAGAAGATTAACAATAAAATGTCAGAATTAGACAACTTAAAAGAAAATCATAGGAGCAGAATTGAGGCAATGGAAGTCAGAATTAGTGAGATTGAAGACAAAGCACTGGATGCCAACTTATTTGAGGAAAAATCAGGTAAAAGGATTTTAAAAAATGAAGAAACCCTAAGAATTATGTGGGATTCTCTCAAAAGGAATAACCTAAGTGATTGGAGTAACAGAACAGGAGGATAACAGATAATGCAGAGAGAATTGTTGAAGATTTGTTGGCAAAAAACTTCCCTGACATCATGAAAGATGCCAAAATATCTATCCAAGATGCTCATCGAACCCCACAACGGGTAGATCCCAAAATAAAGTCACCAAGACATATTATAATCAAACTTTCCAAAACCAAAGATAAAGAGAGAATTTTAAGAGTGGCTAGGGATAAACGAAAAGTCATCTACAAAGGAGAGTCAATAAGAATAAGCTCCGACTACTCAGCAGAAACCACGCAGGCAGGAAGGCAATGTGAAGACATATGTAAAGCCTTGAAGGAAAACAATTGCCAGCCAAGAATTATATACTCAGCAAAACTGCTTCTCAAATATGATGGCAAAATTAGAGCATTTCCACATAAACAGAAGTTAGGGAATTTGCAAAAATAAAATCAAAATTACAAGAAATACTAAAGGGAGTCCTCTGGTTAGAAAATCAATAACATCAGACGACAGCCCAAGACTAGAAAACAGGATAGAGCAATCAGATATCAACCCAGACAGGAAGTCACAAAAATAAATCAAAGCTAAAACACTGAAAATAGGGAAACAGATGTCAATATGTAAAAGATGACAACATTAAAACAAAAAAGACGGACTTAAAAAATGTAGACATAGATTTTTCATATGGAGAGGAAGTCAA